GCAGCTCTGAGGTGCTCGCTTTGCTCTTGGCATGTACGCGTGGCACTCGGGCCCCGCCACTAGAACCACACGGGGGGAGGCACTGGGCCTTGCTGCCTGCACAGGGCCTGGGGCTGGGCCGGGGGGGCTTGGCCATCTCCGCTTCCATTGGCTCTTGTTACTCGTGGCAGCGCTTTGCCTCCCGCGTGGCCTGGTGCGTGGCACTGATGCATTGCTGCAGCAGCGCCCCCTTCCCCTGGGCGGCCGTGCCACACGGACCCATCGTGCTGCTCACAACGCCCTTGTCCCAACCCACCTGACTGCCCTTCTTCCTGGGGCCCGGGGCCCTTGCAGGCAGTTCAAAGGGCCCCGCTCTCTTAGCTGCCGTTTAGCAAAGCTACTACCACGTATTAGTTCTCGTGGTTCTTCCCTGCCACAGTCGCTCCAGCTCCTGCCTCTGCCTTGGAGGAGCAGCCAGAGGGCCCCGGGGCCCAGGCCTGTGCCTGATGCCTGTTGCTTTCTGGGCCACGGTCTAAGAGACACCGTTGGCATCTCTCTGGCAAAATGAACCCACACGGAGGGTTCCCCGCGGGTGGATTCCTGGCTGGTGCCACGTGGGGCAGCCGGGCTCCGTCTCCCAGGGAGGGGGCGTATTCCAGCCAGGCTGTCCCGCGAGGCTTCGGGGCCCGGCACCGCAGGTGGCTGGGGCGTTGGATCCCGGGTGGGCCCTGTCACGGGGCGAGGCCGTCGCCCGGAGCGCTGGGCGGCCGACGCAGGTTTGTCACGCTCTTGGTGGCTTCCGTTTTGGCGGTCTGGCTCTCACGGTCGCCCCTCAGGGCCTAGGCCAAGACGTGGCAGGGGGCCTAGGCACCTCCCTGCTTCCTTGCGTGGGAGTGAGGCACGGGGCTCCCTTTGGAGGTACAGGGGCTAGGCCTCAACTTGTCCCCTTGCCCAACCCCACCGATCCTTCCCTCTCCTCCCAGTGGCCCTGTCAACGCACCACGCGTGGGGGGGCTGGGCCCCCGCTGCTTCCTGGGGTTTGGATCCCCCTTTTGGCATCTAGCCTGGCCCCCAGGTTTGCACTGGCCAAGCGCCGGGGGGAGGGCGGTCCGGCCCAGTGTGTCTTGCCACGGCCGATCCGGGCGCTTTTCCCGCCACCCACGGGGCTCGCCACGGGGCCGTGTCTCTGCCTTTTCTGTTCCCGCGGTGGGAGGAGGACCCCTGTAAATAGCGCGGGCCGCAGCCCGGCCCCCCTTTTATACTTGGGGTGCGACGTGCTGGGTGGCCTCACCTTTCTGATTGTAGGAGACACCTGTCCAGCAATCACTAGAGGGTGGGAGCAAGGAGGGGGGCGGACATGAGCCCTGCCCTGCCAGACTGGGATCCCCCCCACCTGCCCCCTTCCTTGGCAGCCGGGCAGGGGGCAGGGGCCTGAGCGGGGGGGCTGGAAAGGCCTGTTTCCCACTGGCCTCAGGCTGGGGATACCAAAGCGTTCCTTAACACCCACGGGTGCCTGTAAGATTTATCGACACCCCCGCCCCCCGCTCCACCCCCTCAGCACCCCCTCTGGGCCCCTGAGGGCCACAGCCTGAGCTGTTGCACATGGTCCCACTCCTGCCCTAGGAGGGGCGAGGGGCTCTGGGCTGGCTGCTGCCTTTAGCACATGCAGTGGGGCAGAGGGGAAGGGATGTGGGGCCAGCCTTGGGCTCTGGCCTAACTTCAGTACCAGCTTTGC